ATGAAAGTAAGTCTCATCGGAGAAGATGATTTTCTTAAAATTTTTTTTATCTTTTTCAAGTTGTTCCAAGGCAAAAAGCAAATTAACGACGTTTACGGTGGTCCAATGGCTGCAGTTCTTGAGGGACAACAATTGTATATGGATGCAAGCCCAAATCATTTCTCAAAATCCGCCAGGTTGTGCTTTGAGACAGTCCGAATCCTTGAGAACGTCTTGGAATCGACAAATTGCGGTCTTCAGCAACACTTGCCTGAACGGCAAAAGCGTACGAAAAGTTTCAATTGGAGAGCGATTATTGTGATAATAAAATTAAAAAATTTGTAAACGTTTTTCTTCCGTATATCTCTCTATGATAAAATTGTAAACATTACTGAATACGAAGAAAAAAAAATTACAGACATGTTAGGGCATTATTGACTCGTATTTATAAATTTTTGGTAATACCACAAAACCTGACTTTCATTAAGGTACCTCACTTACTAACACCAATATACATATGTACATATATGGAGTAAAATTATGAGATGTTTTAAAATCCTGAATATCAGTTATCACATATTGACCGATATATGCAGTATAAAGTCAACTGGAAGTTCGAAAATTTTAATATAACGTATATAGGGTCTAAGGAAAGTATTGACCCGATTAAACCCATTTTGGACATACAGACATACTATTGTCAGAAATATATATTTTTCGAATTTCGATAATATAACTCACATATTGACCGACTTTTTTGGTAAAAAGTTCGCAAAAGAACTCGGTTCCACATATTCCCACATATTCGGTATCAGGGGTTTTGAACAGTTTTAGTCTGATTGTTATAACATTTGGTCATAAGGTGGCGGTTACACGACCATCGTACCATCTTATGTGTAAAATTTAAGGTATCTGACATACTTAGTTAATGAGTTATCACACTTTTGGTAGTTTTAATCAAAACTGATATGTGTGGTGCGGGCGGGGTTATCATCCGATTTCACCTATTTTCATAATGTCGTAATGAGTGTTGAGGGGATTCTGTGCCTGTCCTGTGCAAATTTAGAGGATATGGCTTGAATGGTTTGGAAGGTATATACATACATTAGACCTATTAGGGTGCCACGTCCACTTTTTGAAGATTTTCAAACCGTTGTATCGAATTACAGTTTTGTATCTTAATTTTCGGCTTAGATATGGCAATTTATGGGTTTTTAATTTTTGTCGGTACGTGGGCGTAGCAATAATGCGATTCCAAGGAACATGTGTACCAAGTTTGATCAAGATATCTTATCTTTTTACTCAAGTTACACCTTGCACGGACGGACGGACGGACGGACAGACAGGCAGTCACTCGGATTTCAACTCATCACGTCATCCTGATACATACTAACATAACCCGACATCTTTTACGATTAGTTTTAAGTAATACAAACAATCGTTAGGTGAACAAGTATAGTATAAAAATGTTGCATAAGAATTCAATATTCATTATTCGACGAAACAGTGAATGGTTTACAATGTGATTATACACAAACAATAAGGCTAAAGCTAATATGTTTGGTATATTAAGAAAAAGCGAACGAGTTCATTCATTTATATAACTATACCTATATAAATATAATATTATACAATAGATAGATACTCAACATTTTGAAAGCAAAGCATAAGTTCAATTCACTTCAAACATTCAATAGCACAACTTATTACGCGTTTTCGGTACAAGTGTACATTATTATCGGAAAAGACGCTCACTGAATTTCATTACAGGTGTTACACCGATACGACGGTATATCGAATTAAAAAAACAGATTTTACCCATTTTGACGTATAGATATTATAATCAGAAAAGGATGCTCTCTAAATTTACAATAGTAAATATATCTAACAGATTGACTGATATTTTATGGGGGCTTGAAAAGCAATAATTCAATTTAGGCAATTTTTTAATAAAAGATGAAGGAACTATTGTATTTCTATATTATAATTTATACACTGTAAAGTAAAAGAATCATATAGAATTAAAAATTCTAATATATGGAAATGGGCTTGGTTGTAGTCGAATTTCGTCCATTTTCACAGAAGAATATCAGGGTTATGTGATACCCCAAATTTGGTTAATATTAGTCGGGCAGTTCTCGAGAAAAAAAGTTTTACTTGAAAGTAGGTGATGCCACGCCCACTGTCCTATTTTTACACTGATTCCTATGCAGCCAGCCTTATCCGTATCAGTATACCGAAAAATATGTGTCCCACGTTTCATCAAGATATCTCAATTTTTACTCGAGCTATCGCTTGCAAGGACAGTCAGTTCGGAAAACTTGGTACACGCGCTTCTTGCCATTCTAAGAAGCTTGATATTGCAGATAAGTGTAATTGAACCATACGCCGTTTATCCCCAAATTATAAAGTGCTATAACTAAACTCCAAATTAAGTTAAAAAACTGTACATGGCATTGAGGTAGAGAGGGGCAACTACAGATATAGAATTATATATGTCTATATATAAAATATAAGGATGACAAGACGAGTTGAATGCCGAGTATATGTCTGTCTGTGCAAGTGATTTGAATAAAAATGAGATTGAAACATGTATAAGTTCCTTGGCATCTAAGGAAGGTTGATGTTACATATCGGACTAATTCTACGGTCACAAAATGCCTTTAATCGAACACCTATAAACTGCCATACGTAAGCCAAAAATTGAGATAGAAAACTTTAATTTGGTACAGGGCATCAAAATAGGAATGCGCATCTGTGGTTTAAAACCTTGTCAATAATCATTCTAACCCCCACATACTTAATATGCGAGTTTTAAAGTCTTTATATCGTATATATCGGTCATAAAGTAAGATATCTTAAGTGAACGTGCAATATTTTATATACCGCAACTTAATTACGAAAATTTTTGAAATATATTATATATAATATAATATACATATAGGTATAATCATTATTCTAGCAGAATTTATGCCGAATATGCCGGCCAGTGTGTGAGTATCTTTGCAATATAGCAACAGTTAATGGAATCAGTCATTCTCTGGACCCAATATACGCGATATAGGAAATTCCATCCATATTGAATTTCCATCTGACTATACCTAAATATTAAATTTAGCCCCTTTGATTGAGTTTATGACTAACATATCTAATTTGTGTTAATTGTGTTAAATTCTTTTTTGATTATAATCTATTAGATTCTTCGAACAATGAGCAGTAATTTGAACGCAATATAAAGTTTTGTCAACCCCTGAACAGCCGAACTTAGCCCTGCTTTACTTTATTAGTACAAAGTCTAGCCTTTTTGCTTCCTTATTTGTTATTGCACCTAATGGTAGCATTGTAAAACATCATTTAAAAACCAACCACAGCTCAATGGTTATGTTCGAAATTTCCAAAAGTCGCACTCTCTAAAAATAAAGCAGATTAAAGTGCAAGGAATATATAATAAACTAATATATATGTATGCTTCAAGTTGAATTGTTGGACAACCGATATGTCACTGCCCACTTGACACACACAAACAGTTTGACCAATTTGACCCGAATAACCTACAATAGCATCCACTTCCCATATAACTTCATTACTTTTATATTACATAGATAAGTAACAATAGGTAATAGGTCTAAATGAAAATATGTGAACATGTTCTATAAGATTGAGTGGGTTTTTCTGAATATATTTTAATTAAATGTCAAAAATAGATGACCTCGGTCCAGATGTCCCTTTAAATCTCTATTTTAATGAAATTACCAGGTACCAGTATAAAGTGGGCGTAAAGATACAAATATGTTGGTAGGCAACATTTGTTGTTGGGGATCGAGCCTAAATTTTTATTTATTTAACCTTACAGTCATTGAGCAAAGAACATCATATTTTTTCATTATGTTGAGAATGTCAAGTTTTGTACCGGAAAGTGATGATTTGCGGAAAGCATTAATTTTTTGTTTCTATTTGAAGAAAAGTGCTGCAGAGTGGCATCGACTGCATATGGTGATCATGCTCTATCAGAAGCAACATGCAAAATATGGTTTCAACGGATCAGAGATAATGATTTTGATGTGGGAAATGAAGAACATGGAAGACCATCAAAAAAGTTTGAAAACGCCGAACTTCAAGCAATATTGGATGAAGATGATACTTTGAGTCAAAAGCAAATGGCAGCCATGTTAAATGTTGCACAACAAACAATTTCAGATAGTTTGAAAGTTATGGAAAAGATTCAAAAGTGTTGAAAATGGGTGCCACATTGAAATTTCGCTCCAAAGACACGAAAGAAAATCAGTTTTTCATTGAATTATCACTGGCGATTAAAAACGGATTTGTTTTAAGAATCCTAAACGGAGAAAATCATGGGTTAATCCGGGACAACCATCAACATCGACTGCAAGAACAGATCGATTCGGTTAGAAGGGAATTCTTGGAGTTTGGTATATCATAAGCTTCTAAAACCAGGTGAAACTATAATATACTAATCACTACAGACAACAAATGATCAATTTGAATCATGCATCAAAAAACGAAAAACGAAAAAAATGGGCCAGAACGCACGGCAAAGTAACTTAGTTACACGACAATGCAACTGCGCACAAAGCAAAATCGGTTTAGGATACAATCAAAGTACTTGACTTCACCCACCGTATTCACCAGACTCAACACCTTCCGATTACCATTTGTTTTCATCGATGGGACACGCATTGGCTGAGCAGCAGTTCTATTCCTACGCAGAAGTTGAAAATGGGGTGTCGGATTACTTTGCTTCAAAAGACGAACATTTCTATAAGCATGGTATCCACAAATTGCCAGAAAAATGGTCAATATTTTAAACAATTTTTTTACTTCTCCCATTCAAAATTAGTATTTTATTTTCACAAAAAAATTTCATACCGGTACATCTAACTGAACATTTTTATAATTTTACGCAAAAAACTTGTAAATTTCGCACTGTCTCTGTCCGTTCGACTGCATCCACCATCTTGTACTAATGGCTTGTTCAATTGTATATTAATCTCTTTTTTCAGGAGCTTTCCTAATACCGTTCATGGTCATGTTGATATTGGAAGGTGTACCGTTGTTTCTAATAGAACTGGGTATTGGACAACGTATGAGGCTTGGCGCACTTGGTGTTTGGAACACTATACACCCTTGGCTAGGCGGCATTGGAATATCGTCCTGTATCGTAACCCTGTTTGTAGCCTTATATTATAATGTTATAATAACCTGGGTATTCTTCTATTTATTCAACAGTTTTCGAGTGAGTTAATGTTTAATAGAAATATCACAATTTAAATTACATGAATTGAATTAATGTCTTCCTCTTATAGTATCCTTTACCCTGGGCTTCCTGTCCTACAAATGGGACAGTTGAAATAGATGAATGTGCTCGTTCGTCAGAAACAGCGTACTTTTGGTATAGAACAACATTAGATGCCGCACCCTCAATGGATGAACCAGGCGGCTTAAAATGGTGGATTGTCCTCTGTTTGTTTCTGTCTTGGACAATCGTATTTTTTATTGTCATGAAAGGCATTCAAAGTTCTGGCAAGGTTGTGTACTTTACATCGCTTTTTCCGTATATTGTGTTGACAATTTTCTTTATACGAGGAATTACGTTGAGAGGTGCCAGTGCTGGTCTTATACACATGTATACACCGAAAGTGGAGAAACTGGCCGATCCGACAGTATGGTTGGATGCAGCGACACAAGTTTTCTACTCCTTTGGTCTGGCTTTTGGATCGCTCATAGCATTTGGAAGTTACAATCCGCCCAAAAATAATTGTGTACGTGATGTCCTTTTAGTGTCGGTGTGCAATGCCATCACCGCCATATACGCAAGCGTCGTAATATTTGCCATTCTCGGATTTAAGGCAACGGTAAACGTGGATCGCTGTATTGAACTGTAAGTGTCACCAGAAATCGTTGGTTACATCTGGTTCTTGCAATATAATTTCTTTTAATACAGGCAGTTCACATACTGCACATTCATTATGGATATAATAGACATGCGGAGAATAAAAGGGTGTGTTGTGAACAAATCATATCAATAGAGCTTTGATTCTTCAATTAAATGACAAAGCAGTGTATAATTGAAGCAATTGAAATGCACCAATTGTCTATTCCCCACCATACCAATGCATATTAGGGTGGTACATAGAGACAAACGTATATGCTATTGTATAATCTCTACAACCTTTTAGACTTCGATAGGAAACCTTTTTATATAATTCTATGTAATTATTCTTGCAAGATTCCTTTATGTTTGTATTTTTATATTTAAATAGAATGGAAACATGTAATATATGAATATATTATTAAGAGAAACATTTATTTAAGTAAACCTATATTACCATGTTTCCACCTGTAATAGTTTTGTACTACCACTCATATATAAAATCTATATAAGGTTTCATGTACATTAGCGTGTCCGTTACTCCCCCTGAAGTTTTTGAAGTTATGCACTAAAAAAAGGATCAAATGAAAACAAGCTATTTATTTTCAATTTAAACCGTGCCAAGATCATTTTATTTTTTCCATATATTTAAGATTAGAAATCATTCTACAACTTTGAAAAAATTATATTATACAATAATACAAAATTTTCTACTTTACGCATAAAACTTTATTTTAAAAGTTATACGGAATTAAAATTATAATTCAGAAGATGTTTGCAAAAGAAAAAAAAACATTTTGGGAAATAGCGGACACCTTAATGTACATCAACACTTACTTGAAACTGCGTTACGTTCGCAGCTTACAACATATACAACAATATACAACCCCACAAAATATGGGGTTCTTAAATATAAATAGAAACTTGTTCGCGACATTGAAACAATCGCTTTGCTATTTCCAGCTGACATATTGGAAGACACTTAACTTCTGAAGATATTCTACAAACAAGATTTCGGCACTGAACGCGTTTCTAATTGTAAAGATAACTTATATTATTGGACAAATGGTCTAAACCAAAAATATACAAGTTATTGTTATTATATTAGCTATAATCTGAACGCGTTGAGTGTTGATTTGATAAGTTATGTTACTGACAACGTTGGGCAGACTTTAAAATTTGAAATCCTACAAAAAAAAAGACCTTTGAGATGTGTATAGTACATGTCATGTGTGTCTTGATTTCATTCGCTGGAAAATCTTACATAATGGCATTCATGTGGATCTTTGTTACTTCCTTCTTATGTATATGTACAGTGCTTATTCGTTACAATACTTCTCCGAAGATCGCGTTTGTTTGAATTATTTATTAGAATATAAAGAAAGTAACCTTAATTAGAGTGGAACCGATTAATGGTTCTTTTCAAATTTTGCACTTGTTTTGTTACATTAAATTTCTCGCATGACTGTCGACGTTGTTTCATATTATTATTACTCCTATATATTTGAGAATCCTGCCCTAGTATTAAATGTATTTATTTCCTAGTCCAAAATCGGCAACCATGTATTTACTTATGAATATGTTTAATGTTAAATATAATTCAAAAATTCGATAAAAATAATCAGAGAATATTATAAATTCAAGATGAAGATCCAAAATTTTTTTAAAAATCATTTTTTGTATAAGTTCATAGCGTCCTATGGCGACAAACGTATTTGTTGATGTAGAAATAGTTCAAGCTGAGTAATCATATACATGGACAAAAGAAACGTTCAACTCCAACAAATTTTAATGCGCATTGATTGTGAACTTTGACTACCGCTCGAATCGGCTGTATATTCGCCAATGTACGACTATAATACCAATCAAACCTCGATAGAGGCTGTTCTAATTCTTTATGGACTTTTGGTTTAGGACTTCGTGAACTTGTTATTTTTGCTATTAATCGCCATTGGCTATTTAATGTAATTATATTGTTATTTTGTTAAAATATCATTTTGTTGGGGTGAAACTAATTCTTAACGGTTTTCATCGAAGGATGTTAGTAGATAGCATAGGCCTCTACATGAATATACAATACGATTCTTCTTCAAGTATGCATATAAAATATGAACAGTAAATTAAAAACTTTGTGATTTCTTACTACTGTTGGAAATCAAAAATAGCCATAACTCTTTTTGAAATTTTGAAAATGCTCCTAAATTTAGTTAATTATTTTATGACACTGTGTTTTATCAACAGCAATAAGGAGATCTTAATCAAACGTGATTTACTTCATTACAAGAATGCAACATTTGAAGAATACGAATCTGTGATGGCAAAAGTTAACGGCAGCGAGTCCATCAGCTTGGAACTTGAAGAGTGCAGCTTATCTAAACAACTTGACAATGTAAGCAGTTTGCATTTATGTATAGGTTAAATAATTCATAAAAATTTATTTTGCAGGCTGCAGAAGGCACTGGACTTGCGTTTATTGTTATTACTCAGGCTATTGTGGAGTTACCTGGTGCCCCGTTCTGGGCAGTTCTTTTCTTTACAATGTTACTTTCTCTAGGCCTGGGGTCTCAAATTGGCATACTAGAGGGGATGCTTTGTACACTTTTTGACATTGATATCATTAAACGGGTTAAGAAACAACATGTGACAGGGGTGGTATGTCTATTCTGCTTCATTGTCGGTTTCATATTCTGTACAGGTGCCGGTGAATATTGGCTCAAAATGTTTGACTCATTTGCGGGCACCATTGGGCTGGTTGTTGTCGCATTGATGGAAACGATTGCAGTGGTATACGTCTATGGACACGAGAGGTGAATATTTCATTTATCATGGCAATACATTTGACCACTCTTCTTTACTTCTGTTATATCCGTATATGGTAGGAAAAGAAAAACCTTACTGAAACTAACGAATTAATGACTTAATTTCTGGTTGAATATTACTCTATTCAATTACAAATTTTATATACGTATGTATCATGTAGATTTACGGAAGATATTTATCAGATGACCGGTTACCGACCTGGCCTATACTGGCAATTAACCTGGCGTTATATTGGACCAGTCATTATGGTAGCCATTCTAGTCTCCTCTGTCGTGTTCATGGTCATCAAAAATCCAACATATGGAGCCTGGAATGCTCAACTCGTAACGAAGTTATTTACGTGAAAAAGTTTATTTTAGTTAACCCCCAATAATTTTTAGGGAGCTGTTCAACAATCCAATTATCCAACATGGGTAATGGGAGTCGCATTAGCAATGATTCTTGCTGGTGTTTTGCCAATGCCCATCGTATTTTTGATGCGAAGCTTCCAGTGTCTAAAAGTGGACCTAGATATCCACCAGGGCTCAATAAGGAGAAATGAGACTACGGCATCGACAAAAGAAATGATCGATAATGACGATGATGATGTGAGTTTAAAACAACTTTTCAATTTATTCACCATATGTGTATATACATGTTTAATTGAAGCTGTTTTATATATGAAAAAATTTTGCTTCAGTTTTTTGTAGTTTGGATTTTATCTTTTGTCAACCAAATATTACTAATTCACTCATAGTTATTGCCTTTTTCACATATGGTTTCCACTGTGACTAACATATTTCAAAAAGTGACTAACACAAGTTTGAACATTTTTAAAATTAGGTTATGAGCCCTGATATGCCTCCTCAGAACTTACTGGCAGCGACACGGTTCACTATCGGAGACTTTGATGTAAGTTAAAAGGTACACTTAAACCAATAAAACAGCGTTTTTAACCGTTAAATTAGTGTTACCATTAGGGACTGAATCTAAAATTGACTAAAAGCTATTTCTTTTATTATAAACTTATTGGCGTTTTATGATGACAAACAACATTAAGTTAAAATTGTAATCAAAGTGTAAACAAAGATTTCGCAAAAAATTGGGAAAGTTAAAAATCACTATTGCCTTTCAAAATTTCTACCCAGAAGCATTTTTTAACTAATTGTTTTGAAATTTAACGGGTTTTCATTAAATAATTTGTTACTGTTTATTCGTGATAACGAAAATAAACATTCTAATTTTAAAAAGCTTCATGAATGTTTTCGTTTTTATGATCAAGGTGCTGGAATCCATCATTTGTTAGGAGGCTGGTAGAAACTTACTTCTTCAAATAAAAACGAGGATATCAAGGACCCGTAGAAGCTTTTTTATCCCTTTTATAAGTCATCCCTTAATTTTTCCCGTAATCAGTTTTAAAGACGCTATATATTGTTTGGTAGAGAAGATCCAGTTAAAATAGTTTAAAAACGCTGTTTTATATTATTTAGGCTACCACAATAAAACTGTTTTAAATACTTTCATAACGAAACTTTCTTAAAAATTGTCCACAGAATTAAACTGTACATGAATAAATGCAACTTCATTAAGAGTAACTTACATTACTGATAATTTAAATATAAAGTAATAATATTAAACGGAATTAATTTAAATAAAAAGGCAACAGTTACCTCCAGATAATTTGTATTAAATGAGCGTTTTACTGAACCAAGTTTATTAATGAAATGTTATAATAGAAATAAAAAATTAAATAAACTTTGAAAATGGAAGACGCCCAAGTTCTAAGTTTAATATAAAATGTACATAAAATACAATTGTAATCATCGTGCACCAACGCGCCACCACAAAACTAATACTCGTACCACTAACGATTGTTCATTAAATTTATCGAAAAAGCAAAAACAAAAAAGCAATCAACGTAAAACAAAATAAGAGAAATGCTGTCACCTGCTGTCACTGTTGAGGCCTTTTAACTACGAAACGTAATCTTTTATGATAATCGAAAATCGCTCAACTCGAAGAACTAAATGTAAATCTTAAAAATACAAATATAAATTACATTTTTTTAGCATTTAGAAAAAATTCGTCACTTAAATGCTTTTATACATATGTTATGCGCACTGACCTGTTTATTTTAGAGTACTTATCATAACAAACAACTTGTGTATGCTTCATGTGTGGATTTGTACATAGCTAGTTAGGTAAAACGAATAGCGGAAACGGATATGGAATGTATGTATGTGCCCATGATTGCACTTAATATTTAAAATATAATAAGATTCATGCCTGTGCACAGCGACGACGTATATTGTGCAGACGTTCTTTAAAGTGACGTTGTTGGTTCATGTATGTACGTCCAATACATATGCATAATCTATGGTATTAAAATATGTTAATCATATAGCAAGTCTTACATGTAAAATAAAAAACAAAGAAGGCGATATGCTTAAAGTTCAAATATTTACAATTATGCAATCGATTTACGGCTTAGCTTATAATGAATATTAAAAAAAATAAATAGCTTGGGTGAAAGAAAGACAGAATAAATTTTTTTAACCGTTTCGAATGTTTTGTCAATTGCTGGAACTTGGAATATTCTAAATCTAACACTGGTGGTTGCATCTTTACAAATTGTTTCAGAAGCTCTCGTTACTAAAAATCGCTGTTTGAATAAGATATTTGAAGGCACTACATATTAAAGGTAAATTCGCTATTTATTTACTCATATATTTATTGTTCCACTGTATCGGTTTTCTGCATGCTTTGATAATACAAATGCATACATACATATTTCTCCTATATAATATATATAAATGTTCATAATAACATATATGTTTTGTAATAATTAATATTTGTATAATTTTTTGCGTTTGACCTATTTTCCAAATATTGCTTGCAAAAATGTGTGTCTCATTGTATTAACAACTTCACGCTTAAAAAAATTAATTTTCTATTATATAAAGAATAGAACTTATTACTGCATGATATATTCAAAGGTCAGTTGAGTTTAATTAATTAAAATGTGATCTTCTCGTGCTACAAATAGTTTTATATTCTTTTCATTTTTGTCGATTTAATTTTGAAATAATAAAAGTTTACCACAAAAATGAGATGTATGCAATATGTTACATACATGTATTAGTATTCGCGTGGAGGAAGATAACGTCATTGATTGATTACGTCCTAAAGCGGCACATTTCTGTCGTAAATGCAAGTGACAAATAGAGTTCATTATAGATTATAACTGGATACGTTACCAGCAATACCAAAATAACAAAAACATGAAAAAAGTATTTATTCTCCCGAAATCACTATTTACAATAATAAAGAATATCCGTTTTCGATTCGTTGCTTAAGTATTCTCGTTTCACGAACGTGAACCTATAGACCGTACCTATGTCTATAAATGCCAAAAGAGTGATGGAAAATATGAAAATTGTTACCTTTTCGAACAAACCTACTTTAGATTGCAGTTTGTTTTTACCAATAAGATGTTAAGGACAAATAAATGTACAAATTATGCATATTTTTCTTGTATACAATAAGATGATCTTTTAAATATGAGATATAACATATGTTACTATATCCGTATATATGTACATATGTACATAGCTATTAATTTCTATAGGTATATTTATGAAATTTTATTTCAGGATGACGAAGATGACTATAGTGGTCCCGCTTTGGGGGGTCCCGTTAGAACCCGAAGTGACTTTTCGGATGATGATGATGACGACCGGCCTGTAACAATGCGAAGCCCCAATCTTCGTTCCAAACTGGCTGCACCAATTCATCTAAATGTGCCAATAAGTAAACCCTCATTTAAAATGGAAGTTTTCGATTTGTAAAATACTTAAGTTTGGAAGTAATTAGTAATTAAGATGTTATGCTTGATTGTTTACTTTGAAATTTAATCTATAATAATTTTTACTTATCATTAATTCTGATTCTTAAATCATTTAAAACATTTCTAATAGTTTTTTTCATTTCATAGTTAATACCATTTAAAATTGAAAAAAATAGATATGTATTTAGAATATTGAAGCTCTGAGGAAAACAAATGTTTATATGTATATACACACTATGTATGTATAAGAATGACAATGAGCATACGCATGTGCACATATGTATATATGTAAGTGTGTTGGGATAACTAGTCTGTGTCAAAAAACACTTAATTAAAATGTGTGTACATACATAGAGGGATTTATTTAGATGAAAACGAATTAATACCTGTCTTCGGTTCGCCAAGAGTTGCACTGGCGGTGCAATCTTGCGCTAACATGCCTTCTGACGCATACGCAATTATGTTCTTTCTTTGGCGGAGGAAAACATCAATATTAATTTGGACAACAGAGCAGCACGAAAATATAGTGAGCAGGAAAATAGCAAATCGAAGCCAGTTATTATTTTTTACATCGTAAATATATTTATGTTACTAATGGTTTACCCATACTTACTTACATATATTATACATTGTTGAATATGTACGAAAGTGCACGAATTCTTGTTTGCCGAACTAATGAGGTGATGTTACCTGTCTTCGATTCGCCACACCTTGTAAGGCAGTAACTATACTAGTTGCAGTAAAACCTTTCGCTAACATGTCCTTTGATGACCGAAATGCGTTGCGCTTAAATTTTTTAATACAATAAAGAAAATAGTTGAACTCAATCGTTTCGAATTCAACTCGCTAACTTTGTTGTGGCCTTTCCACGTAAATTTTTGTCAAGAGAGCAGTGAGCAAAGATATTGAGCAATGAAATTGTGAATCGAAACAGATATTACCTGTGCCTCTGACTAATCAGTTTTAATTTTTTTTTTTCGTAAAGAATAGTTGTTAAGTACTATTATTTCCCACAAAAACAAGAATATAATGTTATAGGAAAAAATTGGTGACATCCCTTAATTGATGTGAGGTTTGGTTAAATGCAGTCCTAATTACATCGTTTTTGTGACAGGGTCTCTGATTTTTTCCATAAATTATATAGTTACGATTATATTAAATTCACAAAACTTTAAATTACAGTAACGAAATATTTTAATTAAATAAAGTAGTTAGTAGCCAAATGAAAAGGCAGGAGAAAGTTTAGGGAAACTTTTGGAAGTTATTAGATAAATATGGTATTGTATTTCTTATAAAATATCTGCAAATAATTTAAAAATAACGAAGTCCAAATTATAAAAGAGGAAGCTACTCAGAGTTTTTTTAAATCATTCAGACATTTTTTTCATAACAAAAGAGAAACATACACAAATGAGCCTTTATACAACTTAATATGAAGTCAGAAATAGATTTAGCATGATGCTATTGAATAAAGTGATTAATTCTCCCCTCACCATCAACTTACGATGGATCGGTAATGATATGGGATGGGTTTTCCTACTATATAAAACGCAATAAATATAATATTAAGACAAATATGGCCGCAGAATAATATGTGGAGTAAATTGAATTTAAATCCTAAATAAGAAAATTAAAAACACATTCATATACTTAGCATTATATATTTTATAGACACGACAAGAAATAAAGGATAGCTAGCAAAGATTCGCCCACTATAATTGATGGTTACAAATTTGGTTTTTACTCACGTTTTACGAACGGCGGACGGAATTTATGAGAAGCTATTCTCGCAGGACGAGTTTGGGAAAACTTTGAGATTAATCGTAAAAATCCAGGTCTCGCAGATAGTGATATAGTATTAACTAATAATAATTGCCATTTGCTTTGTGTGTATTTTTTTGTTTTTTAATTCTCAAAAATGTGGCATTCTCATTTACATTTCACATTTTCACATTTTAAACATATTAAAGATATTGGAAAAAGGGATTTTAACTCGCCGAAAAAAACTTTATAACATTAATTGTATGCTAAGTTAGAAAGCAAGTAGGTGCTATTTTCGACTTCTGCTTGTCATAAAACGCAGTGGCGTTTATCCAATTTTACTAGAGTCAAAAATAGTATTTTTAAGCAAAAGATGGAAGGGGTAAACTCCTATCAGACGAACGTGGCGAAATAGACATAAACATTTACAAACATATACAACGCATTTGATAGATATTTGAGACACACACATATTTTCTCATCATACATAAATACATAAAATAATTAGATTTCGAAACCGAGTCTTAAAATAATTGTCCTTATTATTTTGGTATGTTTCGGTCAGATTTGTTCGAAAGGATAAGAAAAGTTGAGAAACTTTATTATAAGGGTATGGGGCCTCACCACTTATTTCACAAAATTCTTAATTTAGATTTGTTTAACATCTTAAACAGGTCCAGGTACCTTGAAATTGTACTGATACTATGGAAGAATACTTTAAAGTTAAGAATGTTGTTCTATGATGATACAAAATTATTATTTGCATAACATTGCTGATGAAGCAAAAAAATACGAAAAGTGAATTTTTTCAGCAAACATCATCATATGAAAATTAGAAATAAAAGCGTAGTTTATTATTATGTCAGTTAATTAAGACATAATTGTGTGATATATTAATTGATATTCGCTAAAAAATAGGATGTAAGATAGAAATATTTCAAACGAATAAAATAATTAATGCAACGTTTAAGCGATACAAATACAAAACTAGCGAATATGCTTGTATTAGGCTTCTGAAGAATTAAACCTCCCATACAATGTATAATATAAATTTATGTAAATATTTGTATGTGGCAACACAAACGATTTGGTTTAACTTTCGCTTACCCGAGGTTTGTTTTGCTAAAAAATTGAGTAAAATATCTGAAAATTCCAGTTGTTAAATTAATTGTTTTATTGAACTATTTTTAATAAGGGTATTAATATATAAAGGGATTACATGGGTTTCACGTCTTCGAACAAATATTTTTTATTGTCTTATCTAATTCTATAACATCTGTATAATATTGTAATAAATTCTCAGCTTGATCCGAGTAAAGCTTTGGAGATACGCGCTCGAGATCAGCTAAGTATATAATCACATAAAACATTAAACGCGTTTTTCTCGAAACTGTGTTTTCAAAGTCGGTTGACAAGATTTCTCACGAACAAAAGAAATTTCAGACGGTTTTTGAGATATACTTAACAAAGTCTTTTTTTTTATAAAAAAAAAACGGCGAGAAATATTCACCAATATATGCATTTTTTTGTAAAAACGTCTGCCAAAAATACAATTTTCACTTTTTTGTTTTTCCTTCGTCCAATACCTAGCTTATGGTCTTAATTAAAACGAAGAAGTTCTGCTGTCAACACGGAAAACCGTTTTTCCGAGCGACTGCCGGAAATTACGTCGTAATGACCGAGTTTTGAATATTTTCTTTCGAAAATTTTTCAAAATCTTTGTAAAATATATATCTTTGGAATCATAAGAAGTTTGTGTAAAATATTTAAGTTTTTATTTTTGGATTAATAAGAAGTTTGAATAAAATACTTAATTTTTTGTATGAAAAATATAAAATTATTAAAAATACACTGGTTTTCTGCTCAACCAATCCTTTGTATATAACCCCTTAAAGGGAGGACAAAATATTTGTCCATCAGTAATTAGGTTAATCTAGCTATTTAAAAAGTTGATTAATCGTCGTTTGCTTCTTTGGAATACGAATATTACTAATTAATTTGATGGCTTCTTGCTGAAGTTATGTCAATACAATAAGTTTTGTGAAATCGACATTGTTTTACTTTACCGACTGGATAGATTGTTCGAAATTTTTCACTGCAGCTTCATATTTAACTTTTGGGTTTACATTTTCAATCTCGTCAAACAAAACGTAAAGAAACATTGGTATAGTAACTGTTTCATTGGAGTTTTTTTTTCATGTTTTGTTTTGTATTCTGTTTTCACAACGATTTTATATTAATTTCCCCATTTTTAATGTCTTCATGTTGTTCGTTAAACCAGGTACTGACAAATCCCGTTGTTTGTTTCTTAAAGTACTCGATTGTAAAAATTTCCTTGTTCGTTATAAGCGGTTTTTGTTAAAGAAATATTCGTTATTTCGAAATATTGTATTATTGTATTGTCAAATATGCTGTTTTATGTTTCCATTTAATAGTAACAATATACAATATATATAGATAGAGCAACTTGTGCATATTTAGCTAGTGATAGTTAGCAGTTAAGCAACAAGCTTAATGATTTAATAATTTAAAACTTTCCTGCCGACAAAAATGTGTTTTTTGAGAGGTCAAAAGGTAAACAAGAAACTCATGAAAATATTTATTTGACATTAACGATTAAAACTTATTTTCCTAAGAAGAAGCACTCTTTCTAGTAATATAACCTTATATAACTGAATCATGGTCGTTTCTGAAAGACATTATATTATATGAAAAGGAAAATTTGTGGCATTAAAATTTGGTTTTCATTTTGTGGCTATTATTTGGAAATTTATAAATGAACACATGATAATCGCATTCAAAAACGTTAATTGTCCTAATTAAATGCAATGCAGTCAAAAATAATAGAAATGGAGACTATGACAATTTCGTTTCTTATTCAGTTCACGTTTGACAGAAATTATGTCATAAAGGTTTAATTATGTCAAAAAATGACGACACATAATTAAATATTTTTTTATTAATTTTAAATTGAATTTTGCATTTATTACGATTGCTTTAAATTAGTTATTTAAAATGCATATTTTACAGGTTTTCTTAATGCCTATCCTTATTCTTCAATTTAGAGGGATTATTAAAACCACAGGCTTAAACCTACTCCTATAAGATGTTTGAAAATACTTTTATTAATGGATTGTTATGAATATATAAATAAAATTTTCATTTTATTTCTAATAACGAGGGGTTCTTTTTGACTTTCGTCAGAAATCACCAATTATTTTTTTCGTTAAACGTTGTCGAGAAACAGTTAAACTATGTCAAAAAAAACTTTGCAAGAGGAATCTAAGAAATGGTTGTATTATTAACTTTATAGATAACAAAAAAGAGTTGGTTGGTATAACTATATTTTACTAATTAAAGCTATTTATGGGTAATATCATATTATTATAATTAAAAGTTATATGTTTTAAGAATACAATTAAATAATTCAATTAAAAACGGATATTTAAGAAATCAGAGACGAAAAGTTTCTATTTTAACTCGATAAGCCATGAGTGAACTGTATTAATTCTTAACGATTTCTGGGTATAATAAATATATGTCCTTATCCAAATATTCGTGATTCTAGAATAGTTTTCACTTATACATATTTTCATAAGTAAGTATGTATGTAAATGTTAAAAATGTTCAAGTTTTCCCATAACTAATGATATATAATTTTAAGATCCAAGACTTATTTAAAACAAAGTAATGAGACTCATAGTTCTCAATAACATAAACAAAAACTTTTATGCTACATTCCAAAAGACAATAAAAGCTACTTATTTATAAACAAAGAAAAATTGTTCACGTAAAATAAACTTTAGTGAGTAAAATTAACGGTTGTAATAGAACAAAGCGAAAATATATATCGTTAGATTATTAATGGTTTAATAAATGGAAAAAATGGTTCAGAACTAACACAATTACGTTTGTACAATACAAACATATGTACATATATGCAAAGGCTACAAACCGGATCATGCAAACACTTGAGTTTGTATCTAGTAAAACATTTTCATCAAAATTTATTACGATTGAAAATTGTACTAATCTTGAAAACTCTGCTTTTAAATGGATCAACATGAATTGTTAAAGCCCCTTTAATGCTATAGCAACAAGTTACAAAACTAACCAGAACTCAGCTCCTGCTTAGAGATTTTGTGCTTTCCGCTAAAAGCTTGCTGAATATCAGACGAGATTCCGATTTTTAGAACGAATTGAAAAAGTGAATTATTAACATTAAAAATAAATAAATTGTAACTTTTAAATCGCAAAAACTGTGAGATCTCTATTTGACTAAGAAAAATAATCGAAAAACGTATAATTCGATTTTATACTTAACATTTGTGTTGTATACTATAACAGCATTTTCCTTTGCGGAAGTCTACTAGCGCAGATAACAATACTGATTTTACATTTTTGGGAAGCGTTGTTCAAATTATTTAGCAGCATTACTCAAATTTTTCATAAAATTAAAACAATAAAAAGAAAACAACGACGTTCATTTGAATTAAAAATTTACTAAATTTTTCAAGTTAATTAATATTTGCAATTTTAAAGAATCTGAAAAGGATTTACTAACGGTCCATTTATAAGAATGCAGCGTGTAAGCACAATTATTGAAATTAAAAACATTATTTGAATCATAGTAACATTATTTGAATCATAGCAATAGATAACGTAAACTCTCGCAAAATACTTCAAAAAGGTTTGCAAGTAAATTTTACCTGACAAATTAATAGTGTTTAAAAGGCAAGCATTGAAGATCTATTTTGGTAAATTATTCAGTTATAAACACTCGTAAATAATCAAAAATAAAAAATACATATTTTCTTTAGGGATATTCCATGTATTCAAACACCAAAATTAGCAAAATACTACAAGCAACTAATCAAGATTATTTGCCTGATTTTGATGCATAATGTACACAAAATGGTTATTGCCGACTCAATTCCTGGAGTAGGTAGTCGATATCCATTCGTAATGTATATTTTGGTATACTCTTGTCGAACGACAATTATGGTATAGTCAGGCTATTGTATATGGTAAATACAGTACAATTAAAAAGTTCTAGGACGTTTTAAACGTTTTAAACAAGGCTTCTAGTGGCGCAATCTGTCTGAAATTGTTATCCCTCAATTGTGTATTCTTCAGTGTTGTCGTATAAAATTTATATAACAGCTGACTTGTATTATATCGCGCTACATGTGACATTACATTTGTATTGTCGGTCGGAAAATGAGCATCGAACAAAGAGCCAACATAAAGTTTTCTTTTAAACTTGGTAAAACTTTTACCAAAACTTATCAAATGATGAAAAAAGTTTATGGCAATGATTGTCTATCCCGTAGCCGTATTCACGAGTGGTTTTAACGTTTTCAAAGTGGTCGTGAGGACATAAATGAAAAATGAGTCGAAACCTAAAAAATCGCTAAAAAAGGCGCATGTGGCCGATTATTTGACTAAAAATCAAATTTTAACAATCAACCACTCCCCGTATTCACCTGATATGGCACCGTGCGAATTTTACCCTTTTGGAAAACTATATTTGGCCATGAAAGGAACCGCTATGCTGACGTTGATGCCATCCAAAAGACCGCCATCCTCGACGCTATACCGACAAATGACCTAAAAAAGTCATTCGATAACCTTCTAGAACGTGCAAAACGTTGTATTCAGGCGGAAGGAGACTATTTTGAAGGCCACCAATAAATTAAAAAAAAAAAAAAACAAATAATATTCGTTTTTTAATAAAAGTCCTGAAACTTTTGAATTGCACCTTGTATGTAAATGACGCTTTAGACTCAGATGCTTTCTTATTTTAGAATAAAAAGTGTATTTATATCGATATTTGTTCATAATGGCGTCTGTGGTTTCGATTAATTTGGTGCTCGCTTTTTTTCTTGTCACACGTTTTTAATATGTTTTAATATCTAATATGAATGTTTTGATAAAAACAGCAAACACCAGATCCTGTAAAGCCAATTTAGTGCTTATGGCTTAACAAATAATATTCGTTTTTTAATAAAAGTCCTGAAACTTTTGAATTGCACCTTGTATGTAAATGACGCTTTAGTCTCAGATGCTTTCTTATTTTAGAATAAAAAGTGTATTTATATCGATATTTGTTCATAATGGCGTCTGTGGTTTCGATTAATTTGGTGCTCGCTTTTTTTCTTGTCACACGTTTTTAATATGTTTTAATAT